GGATCTCTGGGCTCAATGCCAATACTATGGGCAGACATTGAATCGGGCCTCGATGATTCTCGAGTCCCCGGACGATTCTTTTATCCTGATGGCCTTGGTCATTCATGGAGCTATCGTTTGCACAGGACTTCTCGTGACGAGAGTCAGGAGCTCTTCGCGCAGCTGGACCCGGGAACGTCGGTGGGATGTTGGAATCTCACGATTCACTCGCTCTATAGGATCTGGATTCTGAATGTACATAGACGGAATAGAAAGGATTTATCAGCCGACCCGACAGCGATGCTTCTCGCATCAGTTGCTCCTCCTGAATCGAATTGGCGCGGCGAATCGACTCGGGGCCGTGTGGTCACGAGGAGATTCCGAGTTTCGAGAGATTTCGAGTATAGTATCAAGAGCTCAGCTATTTCGTCGTTCAAAATTCCGGGATTCCCGTGAGCTCCTCGCCGAGGCACTCTTTTGAGCGACGCAAGCGTATCGGAACTGACTTTCAGAATAGGGGTCCTATAGATCGTTGATAGAGAAATAGAGCCAGAGGCACAACAGCAGTTCAATCCGACTGAATTTCCGAGCGTTGTCAGAGCCGACACGGTTATGCTTCAAGATTTTACTTAGGCCCATCCATGGTTCATGTAAACAGCATAGCGTCAGAGTATCTGAGCGGAAGGAACAAGCGACTCAGACCGCCACGCCGTGTTCGGTAAACATTACGAGTCTCGAAGTTCACGCAATCTGAAGAGAAACTCTGTTTACCCGGTCAGCTTCATTGATCATAGAAATATCCCACTGGATGCTCGCTGCCTGCCTTATGTCCTCCGATAAGGGGGAGTACCCTAAAATATCTTTCAACCTTCTCGCGGCTTTCCTTTGGAGCAGACCATGTCCTTGATTTCCTCCGATCAGATTGGGAGAGACCGGAGCTCTAAGGGGGAAGCCTTTGATGCGCTTCACGGAGGCTCAGTCGAGCAACAACTGGATAGAAGAAATGTAGTCCGGTGAACGATGAAGCGTGGACACGTGTTCCATCGATGTCGATCAAGTCAAGAACGTTCTTCCGCATCGGGAGACGCCCCTCTGCCAGAGCATCCCCTCCAATCAGAGAAAATACGGTATTATCGGTCTGAGCTCCGCCGGAGGAACTCGGAGAGAAAGAGCAAGATGCTCATCAAAATCAACGGCCGTCTGGTCGGTGAAAGAATGCATCCCGGTATCGATGATATCTATCGAGGTCAGGGGAATGATCACCGCTGAACACAGGGGGGAACGTTCAAGGGGAGAACTGCAACCGCGAAGGAGTTGACTCAGAGCATAGAGATTCCTTTCGGGAAAAGGACGGGACAGGGAAAAAATATGTAGTGGATAGAATCGAACAGCGGACTTGTTCGTGACTTTTCCTCTCGTGGGACAGCGGCAAGGTTCCATTATCATCACATTGGAGAGACTTGGTGCCCTAATGCTATGACTGTGACACCGTTATACGTGATTCCTGCGACTCGGGATGACGTCAAATGATGTCCGAGACACGGTCCGCATTGGCGACCGGAAGGCACTGACTTGAAAGCAGCGTTGCAGCTCGACGACTCACGACAGGAGTTCAAATTTGGCGCGGTGGAGAGATCGCGAGTTTCTGACCCTGGGGGCCCTCGGCGCGCTCCGAGTGCCATAGACCTCAGTCTACTACTTTCTCTATCGGGAGCGGAGAGCTGATCCGACAGCGCGGATTTCTCTGTGGGAACGTCAGAGGCGACTAGCGTTGCGGGAAGCTGAATCCGCACGGAGATTTACGGAGATTTCGACTTCTAGGAGCAGATTGTCGGACCACCTCGTCATCGGAGGACTCGCTTCATCAGGAGGAGGCCCTTTACGTTGCGATGGGGGCGCTGCCGTCGACGCAAAGCTTGCTCCCCAATCGATTTTAAGGGCTCACAGCTTAACAGCTGAGGTTGGCTGCAGAAAAATGGCGGCCCAATGCCATTTCGCGGGCTGCGGATGTGATTCGTCGCTCAAAGACTGTGTGGCGAACATGCGACGACCCCAAGGGACCCCGGGTGGCCCCACGCAGCAGCCTGTCGGGCCCTGCTCCAAGGACCACTGCGGATGCCCATCACAATGGCTACACAAAATTCTTCATGCCCAGAAACCGATTAAGGGTCTTCTGAAGCGGAGGGATCCTATATCAGGTGAGTTGAAAATCGATCACGCGGCTCACGATGAGCTGCGGAACTTCAGCTATCAGTCAGGGGGTCCGAGACATGGTTCCATCATTCACTCACCGAACTGTTCGCTACCACCGGAATAGAGGATGCCGAGGACATGGCGTGGGCGGGCGGGCGAGCGAGCGCGCATGCTTCCGTCTCGGGTGATCTCGAAGTCTTCCGGGCAGAGTTTACCTAATCACCGCTCCTCATCGATCGCATTCGTCGCGGAAGTCTGAATGTCGTTCGGGGGAGTCGCTCGAGCCTTAATCCACGTAGATGACTCGCCACTTCCTGGTTCGAACGTGGGAACAGAATTGAACTCCTACCTACAGATGATCCTGACTGTATCTGTCTCGAGAAAGTCCCGACCGGTCGAGCTTCGATATGACTCCTCGCAAACTACCCGGTCCGCGCGCGAGATCGTCTCTGGACCCCGGGCCCCGGCAAGGCATGACGATTCCTCTCGTCATCGTCGTTGGATGTTCTAATTTTAGTATCTTGAGTACGGAGCAATTTACGTAAGGGCATCGAAATCGATATCAGAGCAGGACGAGAGCTCCTAGGATCATGAGAAATTCCGCACAGCTCCACCGAACACCGACACCAAATTGTGAACGACACTCTTTGTCTATTATGAGCAACTTGCTTTCGGCAGCTCGTGCGTCGGCGATGACCTGAGTCGCCTTTGTGTACATATTTGACGACTCCCTTGGAAAGCAATAAGTCGGGAGCTGCCGACAGACCGTGCACGCGCAGGAGTTTGCGAGGCTTGTAAGCTCGCTCGCTTCAATTCCCCATATGTCAAGGTATCCAGTCCGAATGCATATTAAGGTCGGTCCTCGATCATGGTGGGGTGCTGGGATCGAGGAGGTCCATCCTATCCCCATTTTCCCAGGGATTCCGTGACGGGCGTAGCAGTCCAGGCACCAATGCTCTAGAGAACGGAGAAGCCCAATCTAAAGTCTATGAAGACGTTCAAGGTCTGAAAAAACTTTTCCGAACTGGGCCGCTCAAGCTTCTGCGCTCCGGAAGTTGCTTTCGGTATCGCGTCCGGAAACGCATCCCGGGAGAGAGCGAGCCCATGTTGATCAGGGCCGGGAATCTGCTCTTCAGTACGGAAATTCCGTCAGAATATTTCGCCGGCAGCAGGGATCGAGCTCGGACTCTTTTTGGCGAGGGCGTCGTCGCGCGGTCATTCACCGTGTTCAACATTCTGTTGAACTTTTTCCAGGGAGTTTCATCGTTACGACACCAGTACCATCGAAGCGGCGGAACTTCCGGGTGAGATTCTCGGACACTCTGACCGTCTTCTCCGAAGAATACCCCGACGCCCAGCTGTACGTGATGCGGCCTCCGGAGCAAATTGACTTCGCAGATATGTTCGATCCGCCACCCGAATATCAGGTACGAGCTCAATGCACGGAATGCACACCAACGATTACGGTCCGCGCCTATTCACTCGCAACACAAATATGGCGGGGGTCGTATATCGCTTTAACACGAATTCCTTCCATCCGCCAAGCAGGATAGCCTTGAACTACCGTTCGAGCCGCCCGAGGCATACAAAGACATGAAAGCTCAAGTACGTTTGGCTCAAGAAAAGCAGGATAACAGCACGAAAAAGGAAGACGAGGAGGATCCGATCCTAGCGGAGCTTAAAAAGCGACTGGGTGAGAGGCTCTTCCGCAAGGAGCGTACTTGATCCCTCCCTATCTCCTGAATTCGACTTCGAGTCCAACAAATCATATTCACAGGAGTTCAGAGCGCGGCCAACGAAGCGGAACTCGAGGCTCAGCTGGCCGAGCTGCTGCCCCGTGGCATCCCGGCCCAGGTGCCTCAGGAGATCGTCTATGAAAACGTGAAATCAAAAGGCGGCCACGCTCCTCAACAGACTGAAGGAAAAAACACTCCGGCCGCTGGTGAGAAAGCTGAAAAGCCAGCGCCCCCGCCGAAACCCGCAGGGCTTCAACCGGGAGCCCAGCCGAACGCGGCTCTTGCAGCCGCTGCGGCTAATAGGAAACGGGTGTCTTTCAACGTGACAGTTGTCGAGGATCAGCCAGAAATGCTCGGGAACGCCAAAGTAGGCGACGTGGATGACGGAGATGGTGTGAAGTTGAGTCGCGTCAGCCGGAACGAGTCGATTGACAACTCCCAGGACGCAAGCTTGGCAAATCATCTGAATCATGGACAGCAGCAGCAGCAGCAGCTGCTCCTGCAACGATTGCAGCAAGGCAACACTGAACGTCTCGTTCAAGTCAAGGTCGTCGATGCCGATAAAAACACCAAAAGATCTGTCAGGAATGGAGGTAGGTTGCCGAACGTCGGGCGCCAAGTCCCTATAGGTACGCGAAGTTTCTGTCTGAGCTCACGAGACTATCCGACCACACAGATCAAGAGACGACGCCCGCAACGAACAAGGTAACGGACTCAGATCGAGACTCTGTGAGCTCCTCGTCGAGCGAGGGTCCGGCCACCGGAAATACAGACTCGGGCCTGCCGACGTCTAGTTCCGAAGCCAGTGAAAACTCCGCCGCGCTTTACGAGCAGCAGATGAAACTGCAACAACAACATCAGCAACAGCTCCATGCGCATCAACAGCAGCAATTACTCCAACAACGACAACAACAACTATTGAGACAGCACCATCAGAAGCTACAGCAACAACATCAGCAGCATTTACAGCAACAGCAGCTCCAGCAGTTGCAGGCACAACATCAACAGCAGCTGCAACAGCAGTTACAACAACACAGACTCTCCCAAACCACGCCTCAACCGCAGCCCACGGCGCAGCCACCGCAAGAGCAGATGGATGATGGGTAAGATGACGACTGAGCGGACTTCCAGGAATTTCACAATAGTTCCTATAAATAAAGCGGCCGCATGGTGAGGACAGAGTCCATGATTGGCAATCAGTGAGCGAGTCGATCGATTCAAATTCGTCATCGGTGGGTACGCGGGAATAAAACGGGAAACCCCCGCCTTCGTTTCCAGCTACGTGGAGGAAGACGACGACGATACATGGTCCGTGAGTTCTGGGAATTCGGTGCGCAAAAATCACGCGGCCAACGCACGCAGAACGATGCTCCATTCGAACAGTGTTCCGGAGCAGGAATCTCCCTCTATGAGTGTCAATCAGTCTGGGGTCGCAAATCCCTCTCCTGGTCAGAATACCGAGGGTCTGAGCGAGAAGATGCGGTGGCTCTCTACGGACGATAGCGGGATCAGCAACGCTCAATTGGCGTCAGCTCAGAAGCCGGTACGTACTATTTTACGCTACAGTCGAGCGATGTGATCTTTTCCCCTATCAGCGATACTACATTTCGCTCCGGCGAAAAGGATAAATTCGCAGCGAGCTCATCATGCCATTCAGGAGAGCTTTGTTCCCGCAGATTAACACAGCCAAGAACTACATTAGGACGATCCCGATACCGCCGACGCCGCAAAATTTAGTTCCACAGTCCTCGCCGACGCCTAACAGCCAACAAATTTACATGAATTTGCCTCTGCATAATCAACAACAAGCTCAACCTCAGCAGCAGCAACAGCAGCCGCCCCAACAACAGCAACAGCAGCAGCAGCCGCCTCAGCAACAGCAGATACAACAGCCGCAGCAACAACAACAACAACAGCAGCAGCAGCAACAACCACAACAGTATCTAACACCGCAGCAGCAGTCTCAACAACAACAAATTCAGCAGCAGCAACAACGGAATGGCATTCCTGGCCGCCCGATCTATTATGAGAACGGTCGACCGATGGGCGGAGGTCAGATGATCCCCATAGTGCCAAGAGACTATCGAATTCTGCGACGTATCCCAGGCGAAGCTTATCCCGGGGATTTGAGAAGGCCGATTCCGACCCACCAGCTGCAGCAGATGCAGCAAATACAGATCACTTTGCAACATCAATACGCCACCTTGCCAGGTAGATCGTGGTTTTTCGGATGAGGGAGAAACTCGCATATGTATCTCGATCTTACCCGGGATGCTGTATGATATACGACCGGAGTATTCGAAGTTTCCCAACTAGAACTCTTGATCATGGTTTCCAGCAAACATGCAATATCACTCGATGACATCGCAATTGACGGTTCAGTTGCCAGCGGGGCATTCGTCCCCTCAACCATCCTCATCACCAACTCCTCCAGCTGGGAATCAAGCTCATCCGGGTCCGCATCTGCAAGCTGCGAACGCACATTTGCTCGCTCAGACACAGCACACCTTACAGGCGGCCACTTCGCCTCCGCCCGTGGTGCAAGCTGCCGTTCAACAAATTCAAAATCAGATCGCCCTTCAACAGCTCCAGATGCAGCAACAACAAGCAGTTATACACGCAGCCCAGCAGCAGGTGAGCAGTCGTTGAGTTATCCTTCAGAGCCTGCTTTGCAGGTCCCACCTGTAGGGGTGGAGACTATCTCACCGGGATCGCGACATTCTCTCCGTAGGCCATCCAACAAGCCCAGGCCCTCCAACAACAGCATCGGGTTGATGGGAAATACGAATACGAGGACTTTGATAAGTACCAAAATCAACAAGAAGTCGACCGGTAAGTGTTTTTCCCTTGATGCATTCGGTCCGGAGTCGGGCTGTATCCTTCAGAGGCTGGAGACCTCCCATTAATTCCTTCCTTGTCTCTAGCCTCGAGGCACATTTTGCGAGTTTCCCTCCCGAAGCAGACCTCTCCTTACTGATTATTTCTGATGGTTCTGATCGTTAGTCTCAAGCAAGTGAGCGAATATTGAGAAAAAAACTTCCTGAACTAGGTCTGAACGCATCAGGAAGCGATATAGCGTCACCGAGGAGGAAGACCCAAGTTTCGGTTTCGCTAGACGACCCTCCGTCAAGGGCATACGGCAACGGTATGCATCTCAAACCGACCTGAACAACATGACCGTCAAGCTCAGTCAAGCCAAAGGCCTTCACTGTCATCCGGTCGGCAAAGGCCCAGTGGCGGTGCCACCTCCTCAGCCTCCGGCTTTGCCGCAACTACCACAGACTACCGCCGCCTCCCAAGGACCTACTCAAAACAAGCAGAACCAACAGCAACAAATTTATCAGAACCAACTACCGCAGGGTGCGTAAAGCTCGAATGATTGGCGTACTGGCCGTATGAACGAGATTTTCGTTCAATTGGAATTCGGAACAGACAGGGCGACACTGAATGCTGCCACCTCACGCAGACATATGGTAGACGCCGACGCCTTACTGATTTCCTTTCATAGGTTATATGACGCTACCAGCCGGAGTCTCATTAGCTCAGCTGACAGGTGGAGATCCAAACCAGATGTGGCAAGCAGGAGAACAGATTCAACTGCAACAAATGCACGCCATGGGCGGTCACCAGCAGTTGAAAGTTATGGTGCTACCTCGCTTACCGGAAGAAAGTCCCGTCCCAGTGGACTCGTCGAAGTGCCAAATGCAAGATCCCAGCAAACAGCAAAACTCTACGCCAACCTCTCAGCACCAGCAACAGGCGCAGTCACAAGCCGCGTCATCCCAGCAGCAGCAACAACAACTACAACAACAAAAGCAACAACAGCAACAACAGCAGCAGCAAGCTACACCCAAACAGCAACCCCAACAAGCGCAGCAACAAGTGTGCTAGGTAAATTTGTAAGCACTGCTAGAAAGTCGAGTGCTCTGCTCACTGCATAGCGGGACCCTCGGAGCGGCGAGAAAACTGTAACAAAGATTCTCCATGATATGCGAAGGACTCACCATGGCAGTACACATGGGAAGCAGGATTCCGATTGTACGTCAAGAACGATTCGATTTGACTACAGTATTCCAAGTTCTGACATGCGGAAAGCGGGATAAGTGCGCGCATAATATCCGAGGTCATGGTTCACATCTGCTAGCGAGAGCCCTTGAGTACCGTCGCCATGCAGGGACATGCCTTCATGGAAGGGGAGACTGACGCTCCCCCAATCATATTCTGGGGAGCGTATGTCCACTCGAGATCGAGGGGTTGTGCATCTTTGCTTACAGAGATAAATTCGACTGATCCAGGATCCGATTGAGGATTCAAGAGTGATTGGGTCATCCTCCGGCTGATGGAGTGCTCAATTTGCCAGAAAATGATGAACAAGACGGTTCAAGAAAGCAGACTTAAAGACATAGCGTTACGAGACAGACAATAGGAATCATCAAATACCTTCAGCGGAGATCGCGTTTGCTCGAGCAAGTAGCGAGGTTCACGAAGACCGGGATGGGATCCTCAGATATCACGATTCGAGAGACGAGCAGAGAAAATCTACTATACGCAATCGAAAAGGAAAGATTGAAGCTTCAAGTTGCTAGCGAGCCTGTACTCGGTGCTACCAGCCTTCGAGAAATCATTTATCGAGGTGAGAACCTGACTCGAACTCTGACGGCGGTCACATTTGGATTCCCTCGGTGACAGAGACGAGTCCCCTCTCCCCAAGTGAAATATAGTAATTCTGGAATGATTCCCGGTCGAACTGAGCGAATGGATGCTTTCCTGACATGTGTAGTCTTCGTTCTCATGATTTAAGACTTCGTGGAGGCCTGACGGCTTCGGCGCGTGATGACCGGCCCCGATCGAACTCTACGCAGCTCCGACAGAGCGAACCAAGAATCGTTTCTGCGGCACTGTGCTCCAGTATTAGACGCTAGAACACTCCTAGAGTCGCGAATTTAGGCTTGGAATCCCGTCGACGGATCGACTCAGAGCCAAGTTTGACGCATTGTCCTTATGCCAAATCGGTCAGCGTCCCCAAATGGGAGATTTCAGGAGCAGATAGCCGATTTATCATGCCGGCGGATCGCCCCTGGTCTCCCTGAGACATTGAGGCAGGTTTTCATGTAAAGTCGATTTTACGAAGCCGATAGTCGTAGGTAACGAACGCCCGGGTCCCATGGTCGGGTGAAACCGGATGCTAACAACATTGAACTAGGTAGAGCGAACAAAAACAATATATCGATCCATGGGAATCTTCGGCGGAGACCTCAGCCTCTCGCCTACCAAAGTCATGGCTGATTGTGAGAAACGCCGCATTCCAAAGGGTGGTGGCCGTATGAGAGGACATGATCTTAGGAAAGTTGAATCGAGCGTGCTGTGCACAACTACTTACGAGCGTCGCAAATGCAGAGCATCTATCTGAGACAGCTCACCGCATCTTGGGCTATCATATGAAGCCTCGTATTGTGAGACGATGGAACGCAACCTCTATTAAGTTTGCTTTCAATTCTCGAGGTTGATCTTGGATGAATCTCTTCATCCTATTTGCTGTAGGGTAATTATCATTCCTGCTGCGAGGATTGAAACTCTTATTGTTGTTACGGCATTATCATCATTGATGCTCGCCCGTCACGCTCGTGACTTCTGGGTCGATGGGCCGTTTTCTTGGAGTCACTCGTTTCGCGGAAGTGTTTTCCGAAAAACTAGAGTCAATATAGGCGACGAATTAAGTTTGTGCTCATACAGCATGGGGCGAGGCTACCATGAAAATAGATTTACGATACAAAACTAGGAGTAAAGGAATCTCTCCGGAAGAACTCCGTCACGACCTTTGGCTTCGGATGGATCCAGTGTTCCTCGCTGGAACCCCTGATCATCGATCAGAGCGACAGAGACAGCGAGATGAGCAGTGACTCGAGCCGTTCGGAAGATCGTAGAACGACGCCCAGAGAGAGTCATGTTTCATTATTTGGAATTGAACCCAATCATAACGCTCCGGGATCGCGCCGTTCACGAAGAGCACTCCGTTGCATGGAAGGGATCTATCTCGATTGAGGGGAGTTCTCTTAGGTGACGGATTTGGTCTGCGATGAGACCGGGTCACTGAGTTCAAATGAGTTAATGCCAGCGCAAGCAAAGCGAAGGAGCTTCGAACGGAGCGTCGAGTATTCAACGAGCGCTGTGAATCGCAAGGTCGAATCGACCTTCGCTCCAGAACGCTCCAGGCGTCGCGTGGATCACCGGTGACCGGAAGACTTGCTGTCGCATCGACTTGTAAGCAAGAACGGAAACGACTGAGTTCGGAATAGTTTCGAGAACTGGACTCAGATAGGCCGCAGATGAAAGATGGAATCCTTACATTTCTAGTCGTCGACAGCAGCGGACCTGGCGCAGATAGCTCGGCAAGGGCAACGCACAAACGGAGGCCAACATACAAAGCGGAGAAAGGCTCACTGATTAACTACGACGAGGGTTTCCTGCAGTCGACCGTCACACTGCGAATCAGACGCCGTTCATCGGACGCCGTTGACTCAGCAGCTGGTGAATTTCATTCAACAGCAAACGTGGCGTCCTTACGCCCAGGCCCTCTAATCCAGCTATCTGCGGTTGGTGCGATGGCGGCTGTCTCTCGTCTAAGTCATTCACCCACCTAATTGTCCATCAATCAAGAAGGTCATCTGTCTCTCCTTAGAATCGATCGAGTTATAACCCAAGTATCTATGGTATGTACATAAGTCTAATGATTAACCAATTGATATATACATGTTGTAAAGTGACAAATAAAAATTCTTGTTCTCTCGAAATCGATCGCTGATCTCCTTGTGATCCTACATATGTACTTCTGGACTCCCAGGGCAGTAAAAACAACGGCGAGCGGCAGGGGGGCATTCTCGGTCGGTCACCGTTTCAAAACGCGGGCTGGCGCTCCTGGAACCCTTTGTCCCTCGGATTGCCTCGGAGGGCTCGGCGAGTCCGATCCCACTTAATCGACTGACGGAAGTGGATACGAATGGAGCTCATATACCCGGAGCGTTCAAGACATACTAACGTCAGACGCAAGAAGAATTACTTCTATTTCGAAATCATAATGGACCCACGCGGGATCGGATCATCTGTGCTCTGCTTAAAAATCACGTTCCTAGGGGCGAGTTCCCCCGCCGAGTCGCTCGTTCATAGTCGTCAGGGATGACCTTCGGAAGAACCTCCTCGGGCAGAGCTCTTTCTCTAGCGAAAGGATCTTCTCCTACTAATTGTAAGCCCTGTCGTTGCGATTGAGCCAGAGGCTTGTGGTTTGAGGTGCATACGAGTCGTCGAGAGAAGCCCTCTGATTGTGAGGTCTCTGTCCTCGGATATTCCATCGAATGCCTACGACATCAGTCGGTGTCGAACCCCATGCTCTAGAGTCCAGACCTACCTCAGTTTGAGCAGAAGGACACCGATGGAGAATACCGATTCGGGGATGGAGATCTTAGAGCTCAGACTCTAATTCCGCATCTCGAGCCGCAAGCCGTGCTCACGGATCGCCTCGGTCGACCATCTGGGATTGGAGTTTATATCCCGGTGGAGTCGAAGCTATCGAGCATTTGAGGGCGTCGCTGCTTGGTCATTTCATATTCCGATACAATATTAACCTAGAGCTCGCCTTGAGCTCGGGATCTTGGCGCCCCGGAGTGGAAGTACTGAGATTCACTGGAGAGCCTTCTTTCCAAATTGCAGAGGGACGGCCGTAGTGAAAGGAAGCGCAGTCGCTTCCGAGAAAGCAGTCCCCCTCGTCTTGTTCAGGACGAACCCTAGGCGGCTCTTACACCGGATCTCTCGGAGTAACTCACGAATCGAATGATAGAAGCTCAGCCAATCCCAGCATTCGAGTAGCTCTACCGGGAAATCCCGGGATCGGTATCGGGCGCTAGCTCCGACGATGGAACATTTCCGTGCTAGACATGCTAATTTGATATTTCGGACCCTCAGGACGCAAAAGGATAGGACCCATATTGGCAATCAGGTACGTCGAATTCCCTTCCGTTCGGAGACAACGCTCCCACCGCGCTGTCAGTGTGTACGAGGCGAATCTAATCGTAAGAGAAGCAGTCGGGAGCGCGCGACGGTGTGCGAGTTCGCGACGAAACTCGCTCCACCCCCTCCTCGTACGCGTTGGCATGGTGCTCATGGCCAGTTCAACACAGGCACCTCGGAGGTTCTTGAAGGCTCGTCTCACACAGAAGACCTATTCCTAGAGGGGTACACGGAACTGAATGCGCAAGGTTCGGGCTTTGATTTCATCGTTGTCGCTTGCTTCAGTCCATTCAGACAACGCTAGCCACAGGCGGAATGAGAGAGCAGAGTCACGCTATCCAACAGGGAGCGGGAAACAAGACACTAAAGTCTCTGAGTTCACTGCACCGTTTATTGGCACGAAATGCGTCGGGATGATTCACATACACACTTATCTCTCTGTCTACGCTGCTCTATATATTTGTCAATTCATTTATAAACGGTCTATGAGTATATATCGGTGATTCTCCCAATCCACGGAACTCTGCTCAGTGCGTCCATGACACTGTTTCCGCAGAAGATCAGCAACCTATAGGAACATGGATCTGTTGGGCCAGGTGTCTTGAGAAGATTTTCCCGGAGCAACTCCAATAGTATTTCAGGCAGGCATCACCTTCCTGCTTTTCACGAAGCATATTCCGTCGCGACGACGCGCACCTAGAGGCCACGGCTTTTGAGCTCCAGACTCGAGACTGTACATAGAATTCCCTCGTAAAATCTCCTCCTCCCATTCACTCATGATTCCAGTCCCGTGGGGAATCTAGCTCGACAGCACTTAAGGGAGATTCGACTTCATGTCAACATCAGTTCAGGGAGGGGTTTTTTCCGGGGAAAATTGATAGTCCACCTCAGGTCGTCCGGAATCGATACGTTTCCCTCTTTCTGAATTTTTTACTCCTCGCAAGACTTCTCCGGGGCCAACCCCCGCTCCGCTACCCGTCTCTCGATAGTAACCCCTCTCGTGCGCGCAACGATGAGGAAGAGTACTCGACCAACGGAAGAATGACGGCTACATGTTTGTTTGTGCCGGTTCCCCCATGGTGTTTTGCTATTGCCCAGGGCTGCCATCGGTCCTCTGAGCCTGCAAAGCTCTAGAATTTAATTCGATCAGGGTTTTTGTGTCAAGATGCAAAGAACATTCTGATTCAATAACATCTGAGATCCCTGAACGAAGGACGTCGTCCCGCACATCTCATCGCGGCCGAATGATCACGACCAAATAATCACCGAATCGGGGACAGCGGATCCGAAGAAGGATGAGGTACTCGGTCAATCGGCCTTTGATCCTGGGAATACACATCGCCGCGAGAGAATGACCGATCAGAATCGCTTGCTCGAATGCAATCCGAACATCGATCCTCGAAGAATAAGCTGGAACCGGCTTCCGAAGGAGCACACTTCGTTCGACGTACAATCCACGATTTATTTGATCATCATAATCGTTATGCGGGCATGTGCGTACTCCCAAGGAGACCCCGCGAAAGTTTTCTACGTCTTTCGATCAGCATCGACGTTCCGTTCAACTTCGACGCACGCGACTCGCCTTTAATCGGAAGTGCGGATTCCGGCGCATGTCGTCGAATCCTTGTAACGAATAAACCGAAAAATTGATCGATCGATCAATCACTCAGCCCGTCAATCGGTTGGTTGGTTGGTCTATCTATCTAAGAGAGATTTTTCAAAAAGGTTTCGGAGGTTTCCCTCCTGGAGGCGCTGAGCTGAGAATCAGACATTTCGTCCCTTCCCCCATCTCAGCGTAATCTCTCCACTCTCACTCGTTGGGCTCGCAGGCGGAAATTCATTCTTCATCTCGATTCGGTCGTCATGTTAGTCTGTGAGGCTCGTTCGTTCATTACTCTCCGTTCGTGTTCAAGGTCGCCACAATATGAGTCATTTAAGTTACTTCTCCTCCCTCCTACCCTTCCAATGTAGAGTACAATGGCGCCCCTAGTACCTAACTCGCAAACAAGTTTACATGGATACTCTTCCAATGATTTTTTGTAGCGCTTGTGATGTTCCACGCCTGGTGCGGCTCGCCTCTCGAACAATCAGTATATCGTTGTCTAGCTTGCCAGCGGATCCAGTCAAAATTGATTCTTTTTCCTCCCGGGAGGGCTTCCGTATGTCAATCGAGAAATGCTCCGAATTATCGGACCATCATCGAAAAAATTCCTCGGCGAGTCCGCACCCGTCGTCCTACACGCAATTCAGACAGCCAAAACTCGACGAGTGGAGACTAGTCTTTGCACTACCCGGCTCTCCCGCTCCACTTTTGGGAAAACACAACACGCAGAATGATTGCTCTACAATTGTCCACCTGTCAAACTATCATTCACCCGCAGATCCTCTCACGAATCACTCGTTCCATGTATACTGCCAAGCATTTATTATTTGAAACAAACGTGAGTATCTCCCAAAAGAAACGCCAAAATCAATGAGACCTGCAGTGCTCGAACACGCTTCGGATCCAGCTCTGTTCTCCCTCCTTCAGCTTTCCCTGCACATTTCTTCCATTGACCCGCTCTTATCGATAAGAGTTCAAAAATCATTCCTGCAGACACTTACATCCGGGATACTCAGCTATGAGTTGTTGAGTAACGTCCATTGCTAGTAGGTCCGAGAAGCTTACGTAACTTACTCCCTTATCCGTCTCACCGTCGCCGACGTCGTCATTTTCCCTACTTAGGCCCCGATGAAACCGTCTCCGTCAGTGATCGTCTTGAATTGATTGGAGGGAAATCAGCCCAGGTCATGGGTCTGCAAGCCCATATCGACGGGGAGTAGCGAATATAGCAGAATATCGAGGGGAACAAAGAAGACTAGAGTTTCCGTTGTTGGGTCTGTCATGTTTGATTCAATCTTAATGTACGAACGCCATCCCAGAGAGAATGATTGAACAAATTCCATCGCAGCCATTATCACAATCGAAAGATCCATCGGTGGATGAGAAAGATGGTTGTGATGGCTTCTCGGGGAAAAGTCCTCAGATAGGAAGCTTACTGAACAGAGCTAGGTGGGTTGGTTGGTTTGTTTGTTTGTTTGCTGGTACGTTTCATCGTTTTTCTTATCCGTTTTACTTATCGGTTGTTTGCAAAGTACGAGCAGATTGGAATCTTTCACCGTCTGATAGGCTACATATGTCCCTAAGTATGTACACAGAGGATTGGAATTTCAGTTTCTATCTTTACAAGATCGCTCCGATCCATCCCCCACTTGGATCATCATTCAAGGAAAATTGGAGTGTGAGCTAGCAGCGCACACACGTCGGATATCCATCGATGAGTTGATGTTTCAAAGCTCGTTTCGGTCTGCTCGAAAAGCTCTTTCAGCACGATTGGCTTGTTCGCTTGAGTTTTGATTGATGTTTTCGAGTACGAGAAGAGAGTTTGGGTAGCCCGTTTCGTACCTAGTCTCGGTACCGAATATTCGTCGGGCTCTTTCTAGAAGTTTCCATCGTTGTTGTTGGCGTCGATGACGATTGACATTCCGTCGGAAGCGAATGATTCGTGTTTCGCCTCGAGATATCCGAACTCTGCTGAATGTGTCCCTCTATGATCGGTCATATTTACAATTGAGTGAATCCGTATTCTTTCTTCAGATGAGACGACGTGGGTTCTGAAATCATGCATGTCTGGACTACTGGTTCTTCGGAGGATGAAGATGTAATCAACGCGCTGCCTGCAAGCGAGAGAAGATATCTGACCTTAGCGTCCATGAGGCTGGATGGTGCATGGAAGATAGTCCCCAGAACAGGTGACCCCGATTACGTCCCACGGACGGGACATGAAAAGTTCGCGGCCAATTTTTGGCGATTATCAGTCCCATTGAAGTGACCAGCTTGCATGGAAACATCGACGAGATTGAAAGAATACTCGTTCGCCTGCATTCTCCGAGCGATATTGGCTTGAAGGAAAGACACGCCCCCCCCCCCCCTCGAGAATTATACGAGATCTCTTAGAGCTCCGAAAGCTTGCCAGCCCTTCTTCCGATCCCATGAGATTGACACACGAGGCAGTTTTGTTAGTGTGAATGCGCCAACACTGTCGATTTACACTTACTGAGCTTTCCCTCAGTAGTCTATCATTGCCCCTGGGTGGCAACAGGCACAGGCGACTCCAACGTTGGATCAGTGGGGGCTTGAGAGGCTCACTGGCTCGCTGCTTGCTTGGCTTTGTGGCTCAGGATCGGCCGGATCTCAGTTAGGAGACGGGTCGTTCGAGTATTTCCAGTCTGATGACTTCAACCGTCCAATTGGTCCGTCTAATGGGGCGTCGAACCTCTCGGCCGTACACGAGCCCGATCGTCGGCCTAGTCGGACCGACCGTCCGTTCGCCCGTCCGCTCGCTAGCTTGCCTGTTCGCCTTCCTTCGCAAGCACGTCTCCCCGTCGGAACCGCTGCACCGGCCTGCTTTCATGTCTTGTGCTTGCACGCAACTTGCCGCTCGTTGATGAAGAACTTCGATCAACGCGCACAAGAGTCCACTAGTTGGGGATCGGCTGAGTACTCACTGGTGCGGGGCGGTTGCGGCAGCTGCGGAGGCGCTTGTGCTAAATGCTGACTCGGTCCCGTTGCTGGATTGTATGACGGATACAGATAAGGCTGTGCTCCGAGAGCTGCTAACGGCGGAGTAGCTGCGATGTTGTGCGACGCTGTTTCTCCTAGCACTGGGGCACCTGCTCCTCCACCCGATGGCACCGTCACCGTCTGACCCTGTGGAAGAAGGCGGAATCGTGAACGAGCCAGTCTCCGAAGCTTTCCTCCAGGAAATGAATCGGAAGGTCATCCTGTACGAGGACGCCGCTGATGAAGAATTTGTGGGAGCACAAGGACACTCACGGGTCGAGGCTGAGATTGCTGTTGATTTTGTTGATTCTGCTGCTTCTTTTTGACATTCTTCGTGTTGGGTAACTTGTTATCCTTCTTCCATTTCATCCTGGAATTCAGAAGGACATTCAGAAGGCGGTTCGGAGATGTATGCTCAGAAACCCTAAGGATTGACAAACTCAACGACAGGCTTCTCCTGAGCTTCAATCAGCCTTCGGAGAAAATCCACAGTCTGGCTCCATTAGACGTCTGAGGTCAAAATTTGAAGCTCATTCCGAAATCTTCCTCTTGCCTAATTTCCTCCTCATCATCTCCAGTGGAAAGAGAAGTAGTTCTCGAGCTCACCTCCTGTTCTGGAACCATATCTTGATTTGCCGCTCTGTTAAACACAGACTATGAGCAATCTCGATCCTGCGTCGTCTCGTTAGATATCTGCAGAAACAATAAAGTGAGTTGTTTTATTAGAGGCTGGACTTATCGATACCATATACCATAGCAGGACAGAAAGATCAACGAGGCTCACCTATTGAAGTGGAACTCCTTTTCTAGTTCTAGTATTTGGTGTCTGGTGTAAGCGGTTCTCTGGCGTTTCGGCTCCATAATGTTGCCGAACGCATGTTCATTGCCTGCGCAGGGGAACCGCATTTGTTCTGGATATGGATCCCCACTCCAGTCATCGACAGCGCGGTTTTCTGGAATATAATCGACTTCGTTAGAAGAATGGCTTCCTCCACGAGGCCCTCGGGATCTCATTCACGGACCACCCCGGGTGAGTCCCGCTCACGGAACCAGGACGTGCGTGATCGGTATTCGAGGAGGATCGGTATTCCTTCGAGCAGAGCTAGAAAGGGCTCAGCCATCCCGAGAGCATGCCATAGGACGAAAAATGGCAACGTGTTCCTATCGTGTCGTTTCGGCGACCCTCTACGGCATTTTCCTCCCAGACCCTCCCACAAGGAGCATGAAATCATCGCCAGGGGCTCACCGGCCCACCCTATTCCCTTGAATCAGTACCATCACGAGGTTCGGTGAAAACCCGATCGTAACAAGAGCAGGCTCTTTCATGTCACGTTCCAGACATCGATTAAGTCTCAAGCGGCGGGGGAAAATATCCTTGATCTTGAGATGTCAGATGTCCCATCAGCGATGTATCGGCATCCGACTCCATAACCGACTCGACAGGTACATAGGTCCGAACATCTTGAGCGGATCAGCCCCGGCGGTTTTGGGGTTCTTCTCCGTATAGGAAGGCATGCTCGTCTGCGGACCTCTCAGAGTCTACCGCGCATGAGAGCCTGCACGTCCCTCCCTTTCTGTTATCGTTTGTGTTTGTTTATTCACACTATCGTGTCGTATCCTTCCCTTTTATTCCCCCGTAGGAGAGGCTGCTCACGCCGACAGTGACGGCAAAAGCTTCAATTAGACGCTCGGATCATCGAAAGACTTCACCGATGATCCTCCCGAGAAGGATTTTTCCGATTCGCGATGCGGAGACTGCTCTCGGGCTCGAGACCCTCCATCGCACCCTTCGAGCATGAGGTCCACGCTCATAGAAGTCGGCCGTATTTTCGAGACTCCGCTGAGATTCCTCGGGAACCGAGGGCGGCATCTCTTTCGGAAGTTCTATGGCTTCTCCGTCTACCGGCACACGCCCTCATCGGGATCCCTCAGACGTCAGACCATGGCTGGCAGCCTGGTAGGCCATTTCGCGTTTGGGGTGAGTGGCGTCAAGCAGCGTCGAAGGGGAGCGCCCAATCGAAAGCTCGCCGCGTAATCAGTACACCGGTCAGCGGCGGCACTGACGGCCGAATTCCCCTCGATGTTCCCGACGATCTCTGTTCAGCAGGACAGCCCCGTAAAGTACCCAAGATGACTGCGCTATCTCATCTTCGTCCAAGTTGCCATCTAATGTCATTCCGCTGCTAGTGCTCGGGGCGTACAACACGCCGTCCCCCTCCCTCAGCCGATGCTCCGAACATTATTCTGCAATTTGAGCCGAAGCTTCAAAAGCAAGCAGGGCTGTGCTCGTCATCTGCCTTCCCCTTCTCGACGGACGGACAGACGGACGGACTGATCGACCGGCGGTCCGACCGACCGTCGCTGTCGCCGGCATCGTCAAGAGCTGGCAACAATCCATCCATCCAGCCAGCACTCCAGGCTGACGCTTGCTTGCCCGCCAGTCAGCGAGCACAAGCAGGCCGTCGGTGAGAGTTGATGGTATGAGTCGTAGTGGCGGTGCTGGCGGCAGCAGCAGCAGCAGGAGAACGATCTGGCGAACGAACGGACGATAGAGCGGGAGCAACAGCAGCAGAGATCCCATTGGCTGAGAGGCAGCCAGTATGTATGTGCCCGGCCGCCCGACGGACCGGTCGCCCAAGCAAGCCGCTCGAGCTGCCTGTCTGCCAGGCGAGCGCTCGACCGACCGAGCGGCCTTTTGCTTCCTTCCTCACAAGAAGGAACCCGCGGCATCAGCAGCCGTCGGCAGCTTCGCTCGCTTGCCATCCACCAAGCGAGCATGTATGTCTCCTCCGCTTGCCTTGTGCTGCCGCCGCCACCGCCGCTGCTGTATATATGTATGTGTGCGTGTGTGTGTGCGCGCGAGTATGTATATATATATATATGACCGCCTCGTGTGAGTAGTATATATGTCGCGCCGAGCAGGAGAGGCCAAGGGAGCGAGCGAGGGTTGGGGACGAGAGAGACGAGTGTGCTCGGTTACATACATATAATGTGCGTGTGTGTGTGCGCACGAGTTTTGGGACGACCGACCGAGCGAACGGACGAGCGCGGGGACCGAACGACGGACGCTTGGACCCTCGGTCGACCGAGAGACGCACGGATGGATGGCTTAGAAAGCGGGATGGATGAATGGATGAGCGATTGGATAGATGGATGAATGGCTCGAAGACGTATCGACGAAAAGAGGAATGCGGCTGGGGCACCGACCGCGATTTTTCAGCATCGCCGAACAATCCAGGAATTCGCTCTCATTGCAAAAAGTATTTCGCACGTTTTGCGAAATGCTCCCGAGCCGTCTCGATCATTATAAACTCTGTCTGTCGGATACAGCGCTCCGTCCGACAGCGGATGAACGTTCCGGCGGGTCGGTTGGTCGTTCCCGCAGCGGCATAAATGAATAAATGCTCGAGCGGGAGCGAGTCTACTCATCATTATTGTCGTCGAACCATCGCCGACTGAAATTCGGCCATGTCAGAACTTTCATCATCCCAAAAACGCATAGTTCTTACGGGGCAACAGCATCATCGAGCTCCTCGGTAGCAAAGTGGAATACAGGGCTTGTCGAGGAAGTTCGCAGAGTGTGTCTATTGATTGCTTTCGGAGCAGGGCAAACCTTGATAGGAGTTGCTCAAGTTAAATATGACGACATGGAAGGAGCTCCGGTTTAAACGGGATTGTCCTGTCGGCGAGGCTCGGAATCGAAGCGAAAAGGGCTGTCGTGGATTTCGGGTTCAAGATGGAGAACGAACGGTGAAATCTCGATCGTGGTGTCTAAATCTACACTCCACAGTGTTGTGAGGGTTGGCCGATATTCGAGTGGACCCTCGAAATGGAATTGACCACGCCCGTTCGAGTCGTGCCTCGATTGAGGACAACTCCTCGTTGTTAAAAACGATCACATTCGCTTATCGGCCATAATGGCTCCATGTGGCGAAGGACGACTAGGTGATATTTCGATCAGCGGTGGAACTCTGAACCATCCGATAATCGGGCTCATTGGTCAAACCCGCGCGATCCCGATGCTCCTACACAGGATAGATTGAAGAATGCGTACTCAAACCCAGGACCACCTCCTTAGGATCCGATTGAGAGATTCAAGAATTTTCTCAGTCTCCTCGCAGAGAATTCCTCACATTTGGGAACTCGCTCCGCATGATCGCCTGCTTGGAAGGCGGAATTGAGACGGACTCCCACCGACGCGCTCGGGGATCGAGGAAGAAGCCGTGAATCGACTGACGGCATTTCTTCCACTTCGATGCTCTCAATTCGACCTGTAGCCCATTTCAGAGGAAAATCCGCTGGTATATCAGTCATCGGAACATGATCGCCGAATGGATGGACTGTGATGTTCAGGGCAATCGGTCGGTATAAACCGGACCTGGTATGCGGATAAGATACTCCTGAGCCGATTTGCTCCACCAAACATCAATATTCCTATAGATAACTCGGTACATATCGAGAAATCTCTTCCTAATAGACATCTGAGGAATATCGATCGAAGAGAATATCCAGTCCATCCTGCGCCATTCCGTCTGTACGGTATTCATCTCTGCTCCGTTAATTTCAATCCTGACGTTTCATACAGATCAGAATGTTCATTATCGTAGGCGTTGAATATTTCACGAGAACATTAGCTCCGTTACGCAAGTCGGGCTCACCGCGCACGACCTGCTGCACAGCCTAATAGCAAGATCTTCTGTTTGAAGAAAGTTCCCACGGAGGAACATCATGGACGTGGGAAAAGACCTGAGTGACTCTGCTAGCCCGGATCGGAATGATGTCTATATCGCTACCTCTCACTGGCATCAAGTTCCGGAGCGACTCCCGAATTTCCACTACAGGTCAACAGGATAGGGATCTACAAGCGGATTTATTTTCCCATCCGAGCCCGACTCCGATTCTCGTCGACTCAGACAAGGGCCCTCCTGGCGTCGTCCTATTACCGAATCCCGCGATTATTGCCGGAATCATCTAGATTCGATCCTTACCTTGAGCTTGGCCGCTGTGGGCCTTTTTCATCCATGGATATATCACGGGATGTTCGGAATCGGGTGTTCCACGATTCGACTGTATCGGTGGGGTAGGTGATGTTTCTGGGGATGTGACACCGGACACGTATTCCCGACTCAGCGGGGAAACCGTCGGCGCCGGCGAAACATTTTGCCCCGGAGATACAACCGGGGTCGATGGCGATGGTGCTGAAAAAACACAAGAAACATTTATTTTCGATGGCGTCCTGGCTACATTCCTTCCTCACGGCGGCGGCCTCCGCACTTACGGCTCGTCGATGCAGATCTACTCGTTTTTCTTGTGCCGCAAGTCCGTTCCGGGGCGTCAACATTGCACGCACAGAAATATGTCGCCGAAAGTCGCGGCACGTCGACCGTCGACGGACAAACCGTGATGACAGTTTCGTAAGAATTCTTGCGCCAATTGTTGCACCCGATTATGAAAGTTGGACATGGAATGCCATTATAAGACGATTTGGATCCACTAATGACCTCTCGACAGCGTTCGTGGCCAACGAATGATTGAGCGGAGATTGATCATCTTCAACACAATGTGGTCGGCTTTCGGCGGGACTATTCAATACTACTCCTACCAAGCCGGGGAATCTTGTTTGTTCACGTAAATAATTCTCTCAGTGGAACCAACTCGCTAGGATTCGATGGGCGCTGCGCCTTCACGTCGGGAAGCGAACGTGAATCTGTAGGCCCGATCGCCTCCGAGAAGAACGCGTTCAATCGTAGAAATTATTTACGGTCTCAGCCATCACTCCGTTCTGGCTAGTGATTGTTCACAGAAAAGTAGATAGTACCACTGATTCCGCTTCGGTTCGCGCATTTCCAAGGGAAAGAGGATGGAAGGGGGTGCTGCTCCTCGACTACGAATACGTGCACGGCTCGCGTAGATTGCGGTGCCAATCTGAGCTATGTACTATCGAGGATGCATCCGGTCCTCTGCGTCGAATCATGCCCTCCGTGAGATAACAGTCCCTGCCGCTTATTCGATGTTTCCCTCTCGGAACCTCGTTCCGCGTTGAGTTCACCGGGTGAACTCTCGATGTTCCTTGTTCCAACTCGTGGCTCGCTTCTTTCCTCGTGGGGGGAAATGGATTCTCGATTCTCGAAGTCCATCGAGAATCATTGAAGCCTGAACACGACCGAGACCGAGGTTCAGCGGTCGGAGCTCGTGTTTACGAGCCGAGTTCGACGGCAGCCATACTAATACGAAGGGGAAAATAATCTTGCACCATTTTGCCACCAACGGGTTCGCCGGATCAGTGGTCACTTCCCTCAGCGAAGGAACCGATGAGCTTGCTTCCAGGCGGTAAGGAAAATTGACAGCGAATAGATTCTCGCTTTCGTTATTTCGAAACGTAATTCATTTTCAATTCCAAAAAAGGAAGCGACAACGTCAACGCCATCGACTTTTGACGTAGGTAGTTACGGGAGTCAGTCGGAAGCGGCAAGGCGTTCGCGTACAAAAGCAACGAAATGGATAAATGAAGCGGGGAGACGATGTACAACGAAGCTAGCTAGCTCGCTCGCTTGCCTGCAGCCCGACCTGATGGTCTCGCTTGATGGGCGACTAATGCATCCGATGCTTCGGAAGGATTTTGTTTCTGCAAGCCAAATCTGGAATGACTCCAAATCACCAAGACGTCCGGAGGGAGGAGGGATTGCCGGCGGCGAGCAGCCAGGAAGTCTACTAAATTCAGAAAGCCCTTTGATGCACACGGGCTTCCATAAAGGTACATATGTATGTACAAATCGAACCTACTCGATTTCTACCGAGATCTCGACATACATACAACTCTTGATCCGCGATCGGAACTACAACCTCTCGTCACGGTGAAGTCTCCGGGGAGCGTGCTCTGAGCCGAGGCGGCACCGTTGGAGTCCGCGGGGGCAGCCAAAGATTGTGTCGCTCGTGCAGCGGCTATCGTCGCCTGGTTCAGCCACCATCGCCAACACTCGTACATGATTCCGAGACTACGATTCTCTCGATGATCAAGCCAATCCACCTCACGCACTTTTACTGGTCCCCATGATGACCTCGCTCGTCCGCATGTCTTTTCGCAGAGACGTCCGCATCACGATGTACGCTCGCTTTTTGCCTCGAAGCACGCACCACAACCGAGCGGACAGGTCGCCAGCAATCAGAATGCTGCTAGTTGAATGTTATTTATGACCGAGATGACGCTGTCCGTCAGCACTGCGGACCGCGATGCCAGGTCGCAATGATCGTCGTACCAAAGTTGTCGAGAAACACAGTACTGCTCTTCACTTTCTGTGTTTGCGAGCGTGCGTGAGTGACCGAGCGGCCGGCGGGTTGGTCGACGAAACGAACGAACGAACGTTCCACCGACCGACCGACCAACCAACGAACCGAGTGACCGACCGAGAGTAATAAATATTCCCCGTCGGCCAACCCGCAACGATGGGTAAAGCGCTTCTGGCCTGGAACTGACCACAGCGACGCCTGCATGGCGCGAGCATCTCCCTTGGTCACTCTAGCTAGCACGGCTCTCGCGGGGACGAGATCCAAGCCCTATTCGACTCGGGTGGCGAGTATGATCAGGAAGCCCGAGAGTCATGATAAACAATCCGAGGGAGCTGATCGCCTGCTTGATCGGAGGACGGGAGCTTCCATGGCTCAGAAGCAGTCCGTCAATTGGCCGCCTCTGCATTTTCTTACGGAAACCATGTCAGCAACTGCCTAGAATAGCGAACGCTATCGCGCGGTCTTTTCCGCCATGATTCCCCCCTTTCCGCAGTCCTGGCGCCAAAGTCTCCTCGACGGGTAGTCCAAGAACACGAGATGCCTATCTAGAAAATATTTGGGATTTCAGACCCATCTCACGGATTTGCCTCGTATTCCGCTTGTTTCATCCGTAGCGAGACCGTGCCGACTTCCCCGTGCGTCGATTGGCGAGAAAGTCGAGAATCACGATAACTGCGCATAGGCCGCTGACCAAGGTGACGGATGGGTCGCCTTGGTCCATAGAGGTGCGAGTCGCGGCCCGCTTACGGAAGGCAGACAGAAGTGATTTCAACAAACTGAAGTCTGCAAAATGGATTCAGCGTAACATCGTTTAGCCTTGTTCGGGCCACGACAGTTTTATGGGCCACAAGTTTCATCGTAACAACGATTTGTCGTTTGGCAGAGCTGAGCGATGAATGGAGGGACAGACCGACCCACCAAGGTGCCCTTATCGAGCGGCTAAAAACTGGCAAATGCCATTTCGGACGCCCATCCGTTCGAAAATCGTTCCGAAGGATTTGTGAGACACGATCGCATCGTGGTTCGAGAACCCTTATTTCTGCTTTGCGATGCCTCGCTCAGCGATCCGATATCCCCCGTGTGTCTTGGTCAAGAATACGGAGAAAGAACCACCAGCTCACGAACCACGATCCCCATCATTTCCCTCTGTATCGAATGATCGTGACCTGTGAACTCAGGAAAGTACAGAGTTTGATGCATGCTTGGACGCGCAACGTCAGCGACTCAGTGAAGATCACCAGGGATCCCCTCCGGGAGCTGGTCGGCGGAGAAATCTTGTGGGAGAAGTATCCTCCGGCGAAAGAGCGCTCCATAGGAGACGAGCTCGCTCCCACCGACTCGATAGAGCCCGGCAGGAGTCGCTCTAGGCATGCTTCATCGAACCACTGCGACGCGTCTGGTATAGGCAGCGGAGCGAGATCGCGGACCCAGAGAAACTACAACTGAAATGCGGCTTTTTCGAAGCAGGATAGATCCTGGGCGCCGGGCGAAGTCTCCCGGGTGGGTCCGCACAGACCGATATCGTACCCGCAGTCGGTCACGAGCTCATCGCGAGCGGCGATTGAAATGAAACTCGTATCTGCCAACAGCCATTTGTATGCAATTTGTTAGTTGACTCGTGTTCTTCTCTGAGGGCGGTAATTTACATAAATATTCAGCAAGTGTTGTAATTGCTGTATGGACAATGAGAGCCGGCAACATCATGAGCGGAACCGCTGCCATTCCTGAGGATCGTACCGAAAGGAGTCTGTCCGAGTGCGGAGCAAGGGAACGAATTATTGTGTCCCTCCGCGCCAAGGCTCGCCATATGATCCCGGAGATCACAGCGAGGGCCAGCGCTTCCTCCTCGAGTCATCAAGTAAATGGCGTTCCATTTCATTAATTACTTCTTCGGGTCTTGTCACCGATCTCGAGCTTATTGACAACCTGGATGTCGTTAGCCTCTCTAGCGTCCGACAAATGTTCGGGGCGCACTGACTGTCATCGGACATCAGCCAGGGCACCGAGAACATCCAATTATCAGTTCGTCGTAGTTAGAATTAGTGAAAAAATAATGCCTCCCGACCCGAATGAAGGGACTTGAGCCGCCGGCCTGTAGACAGACCTCAAGTATTCGATCCATTGACTCTGCAGCCTCAGTATCGCCCTCAGATTCTACTTATCGATCATATCAAACCGCTTAATACTTCTGAGAACCACCAGTTCGAGAACCACTTTTTTTCGGACCTTTTTATGGGATCCAATGAAGTCGGAACTCACATGAACGAAGCATCTCTGTTTGCGGTGGAGATTCGGTGGCTGGCTGCCACCGCTCTATTATGCCCGCTCTAAACCTCAAAATAGTTCAGCCCCTCGAGTGGTGTTGTAAATCTTCCTCAGACATCGAAGAGAGCGGCTGGTTTGAATTTCGTCTAATTATTCGCTCGCTGTCGACACGCCAGTGCTCCTCGCGTCACGGACTGGTGCAATGGGAAGTCGCACACGTGGTGTTGATCGGAGCAATCTTCCTATATTCCAGACGAAAGTGAACCTCCGCGGAAATAATTCAAGCCCAGTACAACCGACGAGGAGATACCGAGAGTATCCTGATAGAGGGGAAGTCCCGAACATTCGGGCAATCTCCAATGGAGGGGCACCGTCCGTGGTGGGAATCGTGCGACCGAGTCCCTGGATGAAGACCTGGGAGCGATTCCGATCGATCTCTTACTCGGGACTTGGGAACAGTATACGGGCAGTCTCGAACAGGC